GCCACGCTTCCCTTTCTCTGTTTTCTTCTCAGGAATTAAAGTTTAATTCTATCAGTAAAGAGATTAATTTTAAGGTACCTTTCTATGCCGTGTAAGTCTGCGCCGCTCGCCACAGCCCCGTGTACGCGACAGGCCTGCCCCTCCCATGTCACTGTCCGCTTGCTGCTGGCCCTGGCACCTGCCCTTAGCACGGGGCTCCTTCACGGCACCCCCGCCCCCCCGTTCCCACGCAGCCACGTGAGGCAGAGCGTGGGGAGCGCCAGGTGCAGACGGCTGTCAGGTCCTCCGTCCTCCCCAGCGGAGGCTCAGCTTGCCCACCCCTGGGGCGGGCCTTCCTGAGGCCGGGCCACTCAGGTCCCGGCTGCAGTGTGTGCCCCTCCTGGTCAGGAGCAAAGCTTGGGGTCTTGGCAGGTGTTAGAGAAAGACCCCAGCACCTCCTCACCCTGAGCCGGGCCTCCTGGCAGCCCCGGAGCGCCGGGTCCGTGCCTGGGTGATGGGCTCTGCCTAGAAAGGCAGGGGTGAGGCAGGCAGGCAGTCACTGGCCAGTCTGTGGCCCCTCGGACGGTCGCCTCTACCCAGGCCCAGGCCTCTGGACCGGCTCACTGTTTTCCAGCCCAGCATGGTCAGAACATCAGTGCTGATGGGGCTGGAGAGGGGGGGCCATCCCCAAGGAGCCCCGAGTCCTTTCAAACCCCCGTCCCCAGGCACCCTGCCTCCTCCGTCCCCAGAGGTGGGCTGGCCGCTTGCTCATAAGCTCAAGTGCAGTCAGGGTTCGAGGTATTTCACGTAAGGGGAGGTCACTTTGAAACTTTCAGATGTGGGCAGAGGTGGAGCCGCTTGGTTAGTGACCCTCACCTGCGTGAGGCCTGCCATCTCACCACCATGCACAGGCCAGTGGGGGGGTCAGCCGGGGCCAAGGTCTGCCCGTGGCTCGCAGGGAGGGGCTGTGGGCCCCTCAGAGCAGCCTGCGCGTTCCCGGCAGCCTCAGTGGAGCCTGGCTGAGGTGGGCACGCCAGAGTGGGCAGGCGCCTGATAGGCCCCTCGGGAGAGAGCCACCCTCCTCCCTCGCTCACCTGGGCTCCCATTTCTCATCCTGGCTTCTCCCCTAAAACACCTGCTGGGGTGTTTGCGTTCGTCGGAAAAAATGAGGTGACGAGGGTTTGGGACCGTTCCCCACAGGACTCGCGCCATGGGCCCACCGGGCGCGTAGCCGGCCTCAGTCGCAGCGTGGCCTGGGCAGCCGCTCTTGTGGCTGGAACAGCACTGGCCCAGGTGCGCGTCATGGCTGTGCCGGGTGAGCGTGTGCACACGTGTCTGTGCTCACGTGTGTATCTCCAGGCACAAGGCCTCCGGGAACAGCTCTCCTAGAAGCCGACCTGCCTTAGACCTGCGTCCTGGCTGTGCTGCCTGCGCGATGGGCACCTGAGGCAGCAAAGTCCCTTTTGGCACGTAACATATCCATGGGACAGAGATCCCAGGAGCCATAGTTTTGCCCACGACACTGGTGAGTAACGTCACGTGAGTGTGCGGAAGGCAGTACTAAGCATTGATTCAAGCATAAGATTTTAACTGGGGAAGAACTCCACAGTATGTGATATTAAATCCAGGAATGTTCCAAGCCTGGCGCCCGA